TGCGTGTGTGCTTCATAATACTAGACTGTAAATGTATGTGACACTAACTCATTTTTCAAGTGTTTAAATCACGACTGTAAAGACGCCTGCCACCCCAGGTGTTGTGCATACCTTACAGGTATTCATTGTGGATTACAGGTGTACAGACGGTCGATGGTTGACGACAGAGAGAAGAGAAATGTTGACTCCATTCCCAACGCCGTGCTCGTCTATTACACGAAGGACACGCTAGGGGTCAACGAATTCTCCTTCGTTGACACCAACCTGAAGGCATATACGAGGTGAAACATTGTTCCATGTTCTCTCCATGTAGCAGTGTCATACTCACATGGATTCATTCTCTCATCGCTCGTAAATTTTGATATAATTCCGTGAAATTAATTATTATTCGGTGCTAATTATTAAATGTGTGTGTGAGTGCCGGTTGGAGTGTGTGCATGTGTCTTCGTGTGCACGTGTGTGTTCATATGTACACGCGTGTGTCCATATGTGCGCGTGTGCTTGTGTGTCCATATGCGCGCGCGTGGGTATGTGTTAACTGATTGAGCTGCTTTTTATCTCTGATTCTGAATACTTAAAATCTTTCTTAATTCTAAAATCTTTTCACTCGCTTGTCTGAACCAATGCAGGTACCAGTACATGGTGCGTGCGATCAACAGTAAGGGGTTCGTGGACAGTGACTGGGTGGAGATTCGCACGGAGCAGGCTGCATCGGAGGGACTCGACCCGCCTATCGCTCAGTACCTTGGCACTGACCCGTTCTCGCTGCGCGTCAGCTGGGGCGCCCCGCGTAAACCCAGCGGAGTTATACTCAGCTACCAGCTACAGAGAAACAGCAGCACTCCACTGAGCTTCCTGCCGACAGACGACATGGTAATTTACCCGTTAAAGGTTCTGTCGTTAACAATATTCTTCGTGTCCCTTTTTAGCTCAGCTGACGAAGTCACAGTTACGGCACAAATCTTAACCGCTCGACGTACGGTCTTGATATTCGGGACGTCGGGGGGGATGGCGAAAAGGACTCGAGATGTCAAATTTTGGGGTCAAGGGTCAAAGGTCGACATGTGTCAATGGAGGAGGAATATTTCCCCCTTAACTTAAGGTATAGGAGGAAATACGGAATTGCGGCACAAATGTCAACGGCTTGACCTACGCTCTTAATATTCGATGTATAGTGTGATGGGGAGGAAACCCATCACCAGCGCGAAATTGGAGGTCACAGGTCAAAGGGCAGTGGGGAAAAGGTCAGATATCAGACATTTTCTGAGGACATGGTCTAACGGACCAAGTGCAAACTTTTTTATGTTTCAGCGCTTACCTACCAGTTTTATCACTTTATTGAAAGGACCATGAAATGTACTTTCCGCTGACGTGCGAAGAGTAAGTGCGATAACCTTTTGCCCCTCAAGAGGAGGGTTAAACATGGATTTGTTGACTGTTAACAAAGGACTGAACTGCGTTTGCTATTAGAGCCCCCCCCCCCCCACCCACCACCACTACGCTCGCGCTCGACGCATATCAATCATAACATGTTAATATAGCGAAGTCATTAAAGTTACACAGCTGTATCTTTATTACTGTACTACCGGTATAGCAAAGCCTATCATAGATTTGAGATCTGTATTAGTAGTATCCTAGATATATGCTCTGAGCTCGAACGCGGTGGCGGGAGGGCACACTTGATTTGGTTGCCAGTGAGTTTATCAGAAGAATACCGGGCTATACAGTACACGTCAGTTGAGCGCTGTCGCTCTGCGGCACTTGTTTTCTTTCTTTTTTCTTCTTTTTCTTATATTTCTTCTTCTCCCTCTCCATCTTCTTTCTTCTCTTTGCCTTTCTCTTCTTCTTCCTCTCCATCTTCTTTCTTCTCTTTGCTTACCTATTCTTCTCCTCTCTGTCTTCTCCTTCTTTTTTGCTAACTTTTTTTCTTCTGATCCTCCATCCCCATCTTCCTTTTTATTCTTGATCAATCGTTCATTTTACTGTTCATTTTACTGTCATACTATGTTCTGTAAAATGTAGTGATCGGTGGCTATGTTCACTCGTGTTCACCAGGCGTACACTGACATCGGGTTGAAGGCCTACACGTGGTACAGCTACACTGTGACTGTGTGCACCGCCGGCGGATGCTCCACTAGCGCCCCCACGCTGATGCGAACGCTGGAGACCGCGCCCTTACACGTGGTGCCCCCTACGATCACTCCTGTCAACTCGACAACCCTGCGCATCACGTGGACTCAACCACAGATCGCGAATGGAGAGATCACGAGGTGTGTGGTGTAGAGTTTGCACGGGAGGAAGGGCAGGCAGGCTAGTGGATGAACAGATGGCAGGAAGGCTGACAGACAGACAGAGACAGACAGGGAGGAAAGCAGGCAGGCAGGCAGGCAGACAGACAGATAGACAGACAGACAGGCAGGCAGGTAGGTAGACAGGCAGACAGAGACAGACAGACAGGCAGGCAGGCAGGCAGAGACAGACAGACAGACAGACAGACAGACAGACAGGCAGGCAGGCAGAGACAGACAGACAGGCAGGCAGGCAGACAGCTAGCTTAATTGATTTGCCAGGTATTCAACAATGATATAGTATTCCATATGGTATTAATGTTAACATTAAATTGCACATTGTATAACACAAATTATTATTAGTTATTATTATAAATTATTATTTATAGTGTCACCTGCGGTGTTGTGTAGGGGAGAGGACTTACATCGCACGATGCGTAACAATATTAATATTAAATATACATCGCGCGACGCGTTCTATTTACCGCATCGCCGCCGCATTGTTTCAGGTACGAGCTACTGGTGGACGGTGTCTCCACCTACGTCGGCCGCGACACGCACACGCTCATGCGGAGCCTCATCCCCGACCACCAATACGAGTTCGTCCTCCTCGCATGCACAAACGGAGGATGCTCGGAGAGCCTCCCCGCTCAGGGACGCCCCGCGGAGGCGGCGCCGCGCGGAATAGCGCCCCCTATGTTGATCGTGATGGGTTCGTCGTCGGTGCAAGTGTCGTGGACGCCGCCGTCGCTTCCCAATGGGAATATCGGCTGGTACGAGCTGCGGCGGAACGGGGAGTTGGTCTACACGGGTCTCGCGCTCTCCTACCAGGACTTTGGTCTGACGCCGGGCACGAGGAACGCATACAGCGTGACGGCGTACAACACGATGGGGAGCGTGCAAAGCCCCGAGGCGACGACGACGACCTACGCGTCGTCCCCCGCCGGACTCCAACCCCCGCGCCTCTTCCCGCTCGGTCCGAGCTCCGTGCGCGTCGAGTGGAGCCCGCCGGCGATGCCCAACGGCGCCATCTATAACTACACGCTGCTCGTCGGCTCCGACGTCGTGTTCGCTGGGATGGGGTACAGCTTCGTCGTGCAGGGTCTGGAGTCGTACACGCAGCACGACTACCGCGTGCAGGCGTGCACCCCGCTCGGATGCACCGTCAGCCAGCCCGCGAAGACGCGGACGATGGAGGCGCCCCCTGCCGGGCAGAGTCCGCCGATCCTCCAGCCGCAGGCCAATCAGGACGGGTCGCACGACGGCGTGCTGGTCACGTGGGACGAGCCGAGGAGAGCGAACGGGGAGGTGCAGTATTACGAGCTGAGTAGACGACGCGTTGAGAGGCAGCCGGCGGAGGTGAAGTATTCATCGACGCATCTCATCTACAACGGGACGATGATGACGTACCTGGACAAGGACCCGTTGTTACGACCTTACTCCGAATACGAGTACAGGGTGAGTGTAATACAAGTACAGGGTGATTGTAATACAAGTACAGGGTGAGTGGTATACAAGTACAGGGTGAGTGGTATACAAGTACAGGGTGAGTGTAATACAAGTACAGGGTGAGTGTAATACAAGTACAGGGTGAGTGGTATACAAGTACAGGGTGAGTGGTATACATGTACAGGGTGAGTGTAATACAAGTACAGGGTAAGTGGTATACAAGTACAGGGTGAGTGTAATACAAGTACAGGGTGAGTGGTATACAAGTACAGGGTGAGTGGT